ACAATTATCTTTATGAACATTAGGCCAATTAAAATCTTCCAAAATCTATTCTAGTATATTCTAAGAACCATTCTGAACCATGAGAGTATAAAGTTTACCATATCTCATATCTTTTTAGAGGGAAAAGAATAACCCCCAAATATTTGAGACATATATTTCAGACATATATTTATCAAATAGCATTGATTTTTTTTTAAGTGAGCCAATTTTTAATATTCATTATATACAGCCTTCTGTGCTAAAAGGACTACCTTCTCAAGTTATTCTATAGTAGCTGCTTTGAGTTTGGCTTTTCTGTTAAAATGCCAGCTGATTACTTTTGAATATAAACTGGAATGTAAATTTTTAAAATACTTTTTAAAAGTGTATATTTTCAGTAATGATTACATTCATTACAGAATAGCATGTAAATTCTTACTAAATAATAAAAGTTTTTTTAAAAAAGAACAAATGAGAAAGTAGTAGGCTCCATGAAGAATTTTAGTTCCCTGATGGGGCAACAGGGCTCCCAACGAATAAGTAACACAACTGACATTGTTCAAATACTTAACATGGTTACAGGCATAAAAATATGTTCCGGCTACAAGCATATTTACTACAATCATAATAAATAGGTTTGAAGACCGCATTATTTTAGGGCACTCAACAGTTTAAAAGGAATTGAGTGCCAGCATACATTTTTTCTGTTTCTCCAAGTCTGTTTATAAAGTTGTGAATCTCAACATATTTTTTTCTAAGTCCCATTCTAAACTTTTAGATCCAAAACATGGTGGGCTTAAGTTTTCTTTTTGGCTTTCATTAATTATGGTCTATGCAATCTAAAAATTTTTCATGCTAATTCTCAAAATCTCTTCCAACTTACTTTTGAATGTGTTGGCATGTGACCTCTTTATATACTATATTTTTTGTATCAAAATGACCAACCTTTGAAATGTTAAAGAATTTAAAATATTTCTTAATTTATTAAACATTTAAGGAAAAGTACTTTTATATCCAGTCTTGTGAAGCCATTAGATGTTTGCAAAGTTTTTGTAGATGAACCAATGGACCTAGTTCTAAGTTATCTGTAAGTATGATCACTATGTATAGATCGTTTTCCAATAAGTTAATGTGTTAAATGTGAGGAAGAAGTAGGAAATTCTGCTGACACGGAATCATATCTTCTTTATTTAAGAAATTCGTAGCTGTTATCAGAATTCACTTCAAAAGTCAACTTCCGGGATATCAGCAAACCAATCAGGGCAAAGGTACACTAAGAAGAACAGCACCAGGTCGAGGAGGATGAATAGCCAGAGGTCCAGCCAGTAGCACTGCTTGGGAAGCCCGTTAGTGCTGGACTGCGGCTGCATATGATTCTGCTCCGGCCTGTGAGCTGCAGCCTTGCTGCGCTGTTCCTGGAGACCCTGGGCACCCTCCACCTCTATCTTGTGCTGCGCCCTGTTCTGCTAGTATTTCTGGAAATAATCTTTTTATGTTATTTGTGCTGTCTCCCACTGCTTCATTGACATATTATATTATTTTCTTTGCATTGTCTTATAGCTGCTAAATTATTTCCTTGTTCCTTATTACTTTTAAGAGATCTTTTATTTCATGTTCATTAGCTGCGCCACTGTCTTTGAGGTCTGAAAGTCTATCTTCAGTTTCATTGAAGCTGTTTTGCCAGCTTTCAATGGAGTTACCAGTTTCCTGGATACCTGTTTGAATCTGTTTCATGCATTCTAATGCTTTCCTGTGTTCATTCAGTGTTTCCATCATTTTTCTGTTCTATTTTTCTCCCTGTGTCTTTTTTAGCTCTGCTGAGCAGTTCTTTCATGATTGTTGTCCTTTCTTTTTGGATCTAAGAGATTATTTCTGATCTTATTTCTTCTGTAGCCTGATGGATTTGTTTCATTACTTTAGTTGCTATCATTTCAGAGATTTCATTTGTTTGATTTCCAAGTTGTTGTATATCTTTGTCTTCTGGATTTGTTCTGGATTGGCTAGAGGACTGAGGTTGCCTTTTGTTCCTGTGTTTTGGCTTTTTTATTTTTTTATGTTAGAAAAGGGTATACACATTGTTCAGGGTCTCACTACTAGATCAGACTCCTAGTGATCCACCTGTTCACAGCCTCCCAAGAGCTGAGATTACATCCACACGCTACCACACCCAATCTCAATTGCTGTCTCAGTGTGCCCCATGGACAGGGCCGGCATGGCAGGCCTGGGGATCGAAACCTCCCTTTTGGATTTTGTCAAATGCTTTTTCTCCATCTATTGAAATGATTATGTGGCCTTTGTCTTTAGTTCTGTTAATGTGATGTATTACATTTGTTGCATTGCAAATGTTGGACTAGATTTATGTATCTCTGAGATGAATTCTGGTCGGGCATGTTGTATAATCCTGATGATTTGCTGCATTGTTTGCCAGTATATTATCAAGGATTTTTGATTTTTTTAAATTTTTTTATTAGATTGGTTTGCAGTTCTGTTTTTTGATGGGTGATTTCTTTGGTTTTGGTATCAGGGTGATGCTTGCTTGCTTGAATGAGTTTAGGAGTATTGCTTCTCTTCATTAAATTTTGAGAAATAGTGGAATGAGATTTTTCTCTTAATTTTTTTGAAGAATTGAGCAGTGAATCCAAGACAAGACCTGTCTTCTTTGTTGGTAGGTTTTTAATTATGTTTTCAATTTTATTCCTATTAGTTTAGTTAGAATATTTATTTATTTAGCGGAACCAGGGATTGAACTCAGGCCCTTGCACTTGCCAGGAAAGCGCTTATTCCACTGAGCCATCTCCCCGGCCCCCTAGTTAGAATTTTTAATATCCTATTGCTTCTGCTTTGTTAGTTCATATATATCTAGAAGTCTTCCCATTTCTTCTGCATTTTCCTTTTTTTTTTCTATTCAGATGCTTCCTGAGTGGTTTTACTCAAATACTTTTATGTAAATTATTGTTTAACTTAATGTCTTTTCCCTAAAAACATTTTTAGTTAATAATTGTGGTGCCATTACCTATATATCTTAAAAAACACATGTGATTCTGCAATCAATCCTTACTCTAATTCTAATACCTATATATATATACGTACTTAAATTTTCAGGATTAAAGTATTTAATTTGTATAAGCTTAAATAATTACTGAATTTTAATACGGAATACATTAGTATCTGTATAATTTTAGCTTTATTTATAAAAACATTTTCTTACAGCAGCATTTGCATTGCAAGTGAAGTGAGACCTTACGATGTTGCAGTGTGCAAGAATTCTTACTGCAAATCAGACTGAGCAGCTACAGTGTTGCTCTGGAACAACTTATTAAAGGACGCATCTGTCTTAGCTACAAGAAAGCAGTTCCTATAAAATATAAAAACTCTAATAACTTATCCAAATCTTGCAACTACATTAGAAAGTTATCTCTATAGAACTAGCAAGATTATTAAAATATTCCAAACAGTCAAGATTACCTTTACCCCTAGAAAAACATTCTAATGAATAAGTAAAAATTATATTACTAAATGGTATTTTTCAGTTAAAACATATGAACTTTTAAAAAATTGATTGAAGATTTCTGGAGTAAAACAATAAAAACAACACCATGGGAAGTTAGTAAAAGAAAATGAGGACTAATTTGAAACTTTTTTTTTCTTTTCTGTATTTAGGGGTCTTCATGGTCTCACTACTTAGATCGACTCCTAGTGATTCTCCTGTTTTCAGCCTCCCAAGTGCTGGGATTCAGGCACGTCACCATACCCAGTATCAATCACTGTCTCAGCGCGCCCCTGGGCAGCACTGGCATGGCAAGCTTGGGATCAAGCCCTGGCTGCTGCACTTTGCTGAAGTGGGTGCTTTAGTCTGCTAAACTATAAAGTTGGCTGAAACTTTAAAACATTATTAAAGACCAGGTGAAATTCCTCAATATCAAATACTTACGTTGAGCTTGTTTTTGTTGAGTTCGCTTCCAGATTGCCAATCAAAGTATCAATACTTTCTTGTAGATTTTTTTGGTATTTAGGACAGGGTTTTCAAGGTGTACAGGGTTTCACTGTATAGATCGGACTTATAGTCATTCTCCTGTTTACAGCCTCCCAAGTGCTGGGATTACAGGCTTGTGCCACCATGCCCAGTCTCAATTGCTGTCACAGCGCATCCCGGGGGTGGAGCTGGCACAGCAGGCCAGGGGATCAAACGTCCAGCCCCTGTGTCTGCCTAAGCAGGTGCTTTAATCCGCTGAGCTATTTGGCTGGCTCTTCTTCTAGATTTTTGAGATTGACTTTTCTGTCTACTTTAGACTCAGTTGTCTGTCCTGTGAAATATGAAATGCACATTCTCTGGATGTAGAAATTGGCTATTTAATCATTATTTCTACTCCATCATTTTTGCTATTATCTTCTCCATTGTCTCTCTTCTGAAGACACATCATCATAGTCCACATCATTTAAATGCATTTTCTGTCTTGTTAGAATGCAGATTTTTTTGTTATTGTTTTTATTTATTGGATATGGGGTCTCATTACACAGTTCAGACTCATAGTGATCCTCCTGCCTTAGTCTCCCCAGTGCTGGGACTACAAGTGTGTGCTACTATGCCCGGTTTCAGGGCCGGCATGGTATATGGTACCAGGGATCGAACTCAGGTCTTTGAACTTGCCAGGCAGCCACTTAGACCACTGAGCTATCTCCATAGCCTAGATTATTGAAGTAGTTTTGGTGGTGGTCTGGATTTCTGCAGGATCTGTTATTTGACCCTTTTATTGCTAATTGCATATATCTGAGTCCCCCGCTTTTTTGGAAAGGTCTCCTGAAGGTTTGTCAATTTAGTTTAATCTTTCAAAGAACTAACTCTTTGAATAATTGATTGTTTATATTCTATTAGTCTCCCTTGCCTTGTTTTGATTTTTATAATTTCTTCATTTGAGTTTTGAGCTTTCCTTGCTGTTCTTTTTCTAGAAACTTGAGGTTTAACATTAAGTTGTTCATTAGAGCTTGCTCTTTTTTTTTTTTTTTTTTTTTTTTTTTTTTTGGATTTACCAGTTTATTATGATTTATAAGTGTCATTTTAAAAACATCAGTCCATTAAACCATGTAGAAATAAGTATGCAAAAAGTCTGCAAAACAAAACATACTTTAAACATGTTTAAGTAGATCGATTATCTGAAATTTCTGGCCACTCAGTCCCTTCATTATTAGGCAATGGCAGCCAAGTAGTCCTTAACTTCAGTTGGAGTGAGCCTCCTGAAGCCAGCTTCATTGCAGATGCCAACCTCTATGTTATCTTCTGTCATTTGCCCTTCAAAGCTCTCCTTTAGGGTTAAGATGGCTGTGTGAATGGCATCTTCAAGCTCCAGATCTTCATTATATCTTTTCTCAAGGAAAGTTTTCCCATTCACATAGTTCTTTCCCATGGCTGTGGCCTTCCAGGCAAAGTAAGCTCCAGATGGGTCTGATTGAAATAAATATGGCCGTCCCTCATTCCAACCACAAATAAGTAAAGAAACACCAAATGGACGAACACCACCCGACTGGGTGTATTGCTGCATCACGGAAGCTACTCTCTGTACCAGCTGGGCTGTGGGGATGGGCTCCTGGTAAACAAGGTAGTACTGCTGGGCGAGTTTCCGAGCTCTGTGCACAAGCACTCTGTAATCTGGGCCCATGCCGCTGTACACCAAACCTATGTGTTTGGTAATTGGCTCTACTTTGTGTTCACTTCGCTCATCGTACAGAATGGACTTCTGTTTCTTCTCAGTTGCTAATACCACACCATTCGCAGCTTTAATTCCCACCGAAGGGGCTCCTCCAGCTACAGCTGCCAATGCATATTCAATCTGGACAAGCTTACCAGATGGGCTGAAGGTTGTCAGCGAAAAGCTGTAACCGCGTTCTGCCATCTTTACTCGGAGAGGCCCCTTGCTCTTTTTATAATATGTGAATTTACAACTATAAATTTCCATTGTGGGACTACTTTCATTGTGTCCCATCAGTTCTGATGTGTTTTATTTACATTATCATTTCATTGTAGAAACTATCTCTAATTTCACTTGTGACCCATTGTTTGTTTAGGAGGGTCCTATTTAATTTCCATGTGTTAAGTTCTTATGGTTCCTGTTGTCATTGATTCCCAATTTTATTGCACTGTGGTCTGATGCTATTCATGAGATAATTTCAATTCCCTTGCATTTACTTAAATGTGAGCATGTTCTATGAGTAAGTATGTGGTCTGTTTTGGAGAATATCCCATGTGCAGCTCAGAAGAATGTATATTCTGATGTTGTGGGATAGAACACTGTATACATCTACTGAATCTAATTGTTCATAGGTTTGTTTCAGATCTCATATTTGAATTTTTTTTTGTCTAGTTGATGTATTTGTGACAGTGGGTTATTAATGTCCCCTATTACAATTATGTTAGTGATTATTTGATCTTTCATGTACAATAATACTAGTTTTATATAGTTTGATTTGCCAGTATTTGGTGCATATATGTTTATGATTATTATCTCTTCCCTTTGGATTGTTCTCTTCACATGGATGTCATGACCTTGTTAATCTCTCTTAATCACTGTTAATGTGAAATTCTCTGAATACAAATAGAATAGCTGCTCCTGCTTTTTTCCAGGTTCTTGTTGCATAGAGTATTGTTTTACATCCTTTGACTTTCAGTCTATGAATTTTTTTTTCAGTTAAATGTGTTCTCATATGCAACATAATGTTAGTTCTTTTTTTTTTTTATATATGAACTTAGAACAGGGTCTACAGGGTCTCACTACTTAAGTTGGACTCATAGTGATTCTCCTGTTTTCAGCCTCCCAAGCGCTGGGAGTACAGGTGTGTGCTACCATGCCCAGTCTGAATTGCCTTCTCAGTGCACCCGGGGGCATGGCCGACACAGTACCGTGGTGATTGAATCCTGGCTGCTGCGCTCTGCTGAAGCAGGCATTTTAGTCTGCTGAGCTATCTGGCTGGCCCTAGATATTGCTTCTTAATCCATTCTATGAATATGTTTATTCTGATTGTTGAATTGGGCTGGAGATACAGCTCAGCGGCATAAGTGCCTGCCTGATTGTTGAATTTGGATCATTAACATTATGGTTAAAGTAGTATGCAGTGAGTTAACCTGTGTCATCTTATTTTCTTTCTTTCTTTTTGTTTTTTGCAACCACAAAATCCCGTGTTTTTTACAAAGGCCAATGCTGATTCTTATGGTGAGCTTATCAGTAGGATTTCTGGTAATGAGCACGGGCACCAGGGCCTCCAGACTTTTTAGATTCGCAGTGACAAGGGTCAGCCTACCAACAGGGTCTGGTCATACTGGATGAGAATATCTTTGATCTCTTTCTTGGAAGCCTCATCAACATATTTCTGGTAATAGGCCACCAGGGCTTTGCAGATAGACTGACGGATAGCATAGATCTGGGCAACATGACCACCACCCTTCACAAGGACATGAATGTCAATACCAGCAAACTGCTCCTTGCCCAGAAGCAGAACAGTGGCCAGTAACTTATATTGCAGCATGTGCGGCTCGATCATCTCCAGGGGACACCTGTTCATCTTGATGAGGCCATTGCCCTGCTTTCAGTATGCCATGGCTGTGGCTGTCTTCTTGCTACTGAAAACTTACACAGACTGCAGCAGGCCCTTAGCCTGCATGGTCACTAGTGCAGACTCTAGAGCTCCTCACACGCAGTGCCGCAACCGGAAAAAGGGTCATCTTATTTTCTGTTGTTGCCCCCCGCCCCTTTTTCCCCCTTCATTGCTTACTCTGCGTTGTAAATTCATTCTTTTGGGATTCATGGAGTTGTAATCTTTGTTACCTCTTTGTAGAAGAAAGTCCTACAGACCATTTTGGAGTGTTGCTGTGGTGGTCATTAGTTTCTTCAGGTGTGGTTACACTGAAATATCTTATTTTTCCACGAATTTTGAAGGAAGTTTTGTGGGCTACCTCAATCTAGGTTGGATATTTTCTTTTAGGGCTTGAAATACTTCACTCTGTGTTCACTTTGACTTGTGGGTTTGTATTGAGAAGTGGGGTTTGATTTTGTTGAGCTTTCATTTAAAGGTGATTTATTTTCTCTAACCGCTTTTAATATTGTTATTAAAATTTCTGGAATCTTTTACATGCTTTGGTTTAAATTTTTTTAATCATGCTCAGTTGAAGATCTGTATGCTCACTTATTTGTCAAATTCTTTTTCCATGCTTAGGATGTTTACTGATATTTCTGCTATGAACAGGTTTTTTGTTTTTTTGTTTTTTTGTTTTTAATGTCATTTGCACTGGCTCCTGTTTTTCATTGAGTCCAGTTAATCTTACATCAGTCTTTACATCATATAGCAGCTGTTCATTCTTGTGTGTGTGTGTGTGTGTGTGTGTGTGTGTGTGTGTGGTCTCTTGTTATTTTTTGAGAAATCTTTCTGCTCATTATGGAGAACCAAGATCCTGTCTTCTAGATCTGATATTTTGTCCTCATATTGGCTCATTTGATGTATATGTATGTACTCAGTGGAATTTTTAATCTTCTGAATATTTGTTTGATTGTAGTTCATGGATTCCATTTCTTTCCAGTGTTGGGCATTGATAGTTTACATCATTTTCCTAAGCTGCTCTGTTTTTTTTATCTGTATCTACTTTAGCATCATTAAGCACATGTTTATTATGGTCACCATCTCTGTAGTTACCTGAAAAACTAAATCAAATCAAATTTATTTGAGCTTTTTGTTTTTTTGTTTTTGTTTTTCTGGAGCCTTATTTGTTTGTTTTGTTACTTGTTAAGAGTCCAGGTGGGAGGCTTTTGAATTATTGTACCTCATTATTCCCTGAGTTTGTGTTTGCTAAGTTGAAAGTTTGGGGTTGTATC